TTTTACATAATGTGCCACATCCCACTGTACTCCCATTCCTGAGAACAGACTGATGGACTGAGTTACGATTTATATGAGAGAACCCCAAATCAGAATTCCTAGCCATGTCCAATTTATATATCAGCAGGCAAGTTGTTCTGTTTCTTGTTTGGGTTTTGGGGCTTCTGTTTGGGGGTGGGTTTTTTTTTTTTTTTTTTTTCCAGTATCGTAACTTACAATCTCATATCATAGAAGAGCATTCTCTAATGAGCTTTCTGAAGCCAAGAGCTCTACCCAGTTGCTGGGGAAATGGGTGAACATGGAGAATTAGAATGTTTACATTGTAACTGATTTATATCCACTATATTTGCATGTAAGTGTACTAAAATATTTTTTTAAATAATCACCAGCCATTAAAAATGTATTTGCTAATGGGGATAAGAATGCTGGAACTACAATGAGGTAAGCTTTGTTTAAAAGGATTTAGGAGACTCACAATTCATAATCAATACTTCAACACACTGGTCTGCATTTTTAGGGCAATAGACCTGTAAGTAGAAACAGGCATATTTGCAGAAAAACATTAGTTTCTGAGATCTGGCCAGCTCCTGTTCTTACCACTCTGTCATCTCTGATTGGATTAGACATCACAGAAAGGGCCTCAGATCCTTGTTTCATGTTAAGTTTAACCCCTCCAGTTGAATACCATCCTTGTGGAGCTCAATAGAGAGAAATTAAATTTCTATCACCAGAACTATGGCACTGAATCAGGTATCAAGGGGGCTACATCAGTAAACTTCGTTGGTTACAAGATGTATGTCCTTCCTGAGGCTCTGTAGCTGTTAAGTTGGCTCTTTCCAATCACAGTCTGATCTTTCATTTTCCCGTAATGCAGTTAGACAGCCTAGTTATTCAGGCATAGACTTCTCTGTTTTTCATTATCCCTGAATAACATTTGATGCTGAAATAGGGAAGACGGGAAGGACGGGGGAGGGGAGCCAAGCATTTTTCACAGCTTGTGTGAAATGCTTAATATTTGAACGTCTTTAAAATATACTGTACACATACATTCCAATTTTATAAGACTAGCATAACATGTTCAAAAGTTTTATGAATTTCAGCATGTAACCAGAGTAAACGTTAGCCTGTTTTAAATAAGCCATAATGGCCTGGCAACAAACCTGCATAGTTAGCAAATCCCTCCTCTGTTTATGGGCAGCCATTCCTCACCAGGTCACTACAAAATACTAGTTTTATCAGTTTCTGTGGACTCCGTAAGTTGGTCTGTGTACTGAGTTCAGCATGAATCTGGTTTTAAGAGCACAAAACCAAGGGCATCATGATGAAGTGATATTTCGTTTTGATTTTAATGAAATGGCATGAATCTGACTTGCTTAAGAATATGTCCAGGCCTCTCGTATCCTGTGGGAGCAGCTTGGTTCCTAAATGCCTTCCATAAGCACAGGGCCACACAGCCGTAGCAGGCTCACCCCTTCCTCACTGGAGTCAAGAGAGTGCTTTGTGCCTAGAGAATGTTTGTGTGTTTTTTGTGGGGGGGGGAGGGACTTTTTTGTTGGGTTTTTTGTCGTGTTTTTACTTAGGATGGAAGTGCACCCCAGATGATTCTTTTTAAGCTAGGATCTCTCTTAACAGAAGTGAGAGCATCAAACACGCTGGGTCATGCGTGCCTGGTTCCATCCCATCGTGTGTCCTGGGTCTAAGGTATTAGACACACTCATGCCTCTCAATGGTGAAGGTCCTATGTTACCAGATCGTACAATTCGAGGAAATCTGCTAGCTCACCAGATAAAATCATCCCAGCTTCTTCGAGTGTGGCAGAGGAGAGAGACTTCCCATGTGTTAAAAATCTGCTAACCTTTGCAGCCCCAACTCTTTTGCCCATAGACTCATCCTGGCCTCAGCCATCCCTCAGGAATCGTCTACCACAGACCAAACTGGCTTCAGGGGATATTCCAACCCCTGATGCACTCTGGCATCGAAAGCTCCTTTAATTACAAATAGTGCATAGAGGACAGGTTGGAGCATTTAAATAAGACTGATCTAAAGGCTGTGGGCCAAAGAATTCTCACAGAGGGCAACACGTAATTAGGTAATCTGACTCACAAGATGAAGTTTACTCGCTTTCATTGTGGTGCCCCCCAGGGCAGCCTTCCCCACCTGCCCTCTGTGCCTGTGTCCATGTAGCACTTGTCACTTGTAAGCCCAGCCTTCTGGGAGGCTCTCAGTCAGGTCCCGATGCTTCCAGAGGCTGACTCCAGACTCACGCAGTTTCTTCTCTCTTTGTCTTAAAACAGTCATGGTCCTCATTGCTCCCTAAAACATCCTAATTAGTATTTAGAACTCACTATCCATCTGTTCAAAGCTTGGCTTTTGGAACTCTTTATAGTACTAGCCTTCTTACCCCCTGAAATAAGGAAAATATAAGAATAACCGCCCACAGAGGCATATAAAACTCCTTTCCATTTACCTCATTTATTCATCTTATTTAGGGAAAGCACAGTTCAGGGTGGGCAGTCTAGTTTAAGCCATTGAGTCTAGTTTAAGCCGTTGTTCACCATCATGATTTTATAGCCTTTAGTTTTATTCCCTGTCAGCCATAGATATCCCCAGAGATGCAAGAACTCATGCAGGAAAACCCATTTAATTAGGACCCACTGTGAGGGACCAGGAAACAGACCCTAAAGCACTTTATGACGGAAGCTGTTGATCAGGAAACAGGATGTTTTCCTTTCCTTGGGTTTAGGTCTGGCTTATACTCCTTCGGGGAGATCTGGGGGCCCATCTCCATCTCCACTGAAACAGAACCTGTAACCTTCCTAGAATCAGGTTACCCTAGAGGGCAGTGACATTTATATCTGCTTTTTTGTTTGTTCGTTGTTCTTTTTCCTAAGACGTGGCAGGTTTTGAACTCCTGGATCTCGGCCCAGGGTCCTGGCATGTTGGATATCTGCCATTCTGATGTGCGGAGGGCCTCCTGTCTGCACTCTCTCTGCCCCATGGCTAGAGACAGCTCATTCCGAGAGTTTTTTTTTATAGGAAGGCAAAGCTCACCTATCCCTAACATGCAAAACTTTTCACTTGAGGAGGCGGGGAAACTGGTTTAGTAAAGATCTTTGCATGAAATTGAATCCAGTCCTTATCATCCTTCATGTTCAACTCAAGTCCTTCTTCTGTCATGAAGTCTTCCCCAACCAGAAGTGATCTTTCTCTCTCCATTATATCAGGGCCTTTTCCACATTCCCACCTTTCCCCCCTCATACTGTTGACTAGTTTTATTTCTCATTAGTGCTTTGCACCTAGTGCTCCTAGGTCCATTTAAAGACCTAAATGGCTGGGATCACATCTTCTACTTGGTTATTTCCCCCACGGCACTCAATCACTTATAAACTGTGTTAATTTTCCCCACAGTGCCTCACATAGAGTGGTGCTCAATTACAACTTACTAAGTCCATTTGAAAAGAAATATGCTATTGGTCAAGAAATCTGTGTGCTGAGTGCTTCAAGGGACACAGGCAGTATAAATGAGACATCCTGCCCTCAGGGAATGTATAGTCTGAGTGAGGGTAAGACGAAGCCACATGGAAAGTCTACTAATACAGGCCAGGTGCCATGGCTTCCTGCAATACAAGCACTTTGGGAGGCCAAGGTGAGAGGATCACTTGAGGCCAGGAATACGAGACCAGCCTGGGCAACATAGTGAGACCCTGTCTCTACAAAAAACTTACCCAGGTATGGTGGTGCATGCCTGTAGTCCCGGCTACTCCAGAGGCTTAGGTAGGAAGACTGTTAGAGCCCAGGAGGTGAAGACTGCAGTGAGCAAAGATCACACCACTGCACTCCAGCCTGGGTGACAGAGCAAGACCCTGTCTCTTTGGAAAAAAAAAAAAAAAAAAGCAGCCAGTAATACAATTCCATATAGGATCTGGGCCAGAAAAAAATAAAAGTACCGATTATCATGATCATGATGATACATTAGTTATCTTGGGTATTTACACATGTTTTTACCCATCCCCATAACAACTCTACAAAGTAGATGGCGCTAGGCATTCTTAGTCTCAGCTCTTGTCTGTAGAGTGAGGATAAATGATTTGTCCAAGGCAATGAGTACAAAGTGCTGGGACTCAGACAGCTCCGTGTGCCCTCACGTGAGGCTCACCCTGGGTTCCAGTAGCTCAGAGCTTCTCCTCTTGCTTCTCTTTCATTACCCTTGTGCCCTGCCCACTCCCAGACTTTTAAATATATTAAGGAGGGTTAACCATATTGTTCACTGCTATTAAACAAGACCAGAGACAGAGTCTTTCCAACAGGTGACACCTTGGTGTCTGAATGAGAAAGGAGTTGTCCAGAGACATCTGCCCCACACAGAAGAAAATTAGAGGTATCTGGCCGGACGCGGTGGCTCACACCTGTAATCCCAGCACTTTGGGAGGCCGAGACGGGCGGATCACGAGGTCAAGAGATCGAGACCATCCTGGCTAACACGGTGAAACCCCGTCTCTACTAAAAAAAATACAAAAAACTAGCCGGGCGAGGTGGCGGGTGCCTGTAGTCCCAGCTACTCAGGAGGCTGAGGCAGGAGAATGGCATAAACCCAGGAGGCGGAGCTTGCAGTGAGCTGAGATCCGGCCACTGCACTCCAGCCTGGGCCACAGAGCGAGACTCCGTCTCAAAAAAAAAAAAAAAAAAGAAAGAAAAAGAAAATTAGAGGTATCACATGCCAGTAGTTTGTTATAATGGCATAAAAGTATGTGTATGTTTTAATAAGTCATGTACTGAGTGTACTCGGACTATAGCGTATCCATGTGTATTATGGTGGTTAAGAGCTCATCTCTTTAGTAACAGACGGGTTCAAATTCTGACTTTATCACTTACAAGCTCTATAGCCTTCAGCAAGTTAGTTAACTTCTCCGGGCCTGTTTTTTCCTTGATAAAATGAGTGGGGCAATACCTAGCTCAAACATTTGTTGTAATATTTAAATATGAATGTAAAGCACAGCGGCTGAGGTCGCTCAGTGAACTGCGATTGTGGTGAGCATACTGTTATATCCCTTCCTGAGCCACAGAACTTGAATTTGTGTTCAGAGCTGGAGACTCCAGAACACCTCCCAAAGGGCAGCAATTTCAAGTTGAAATAGCCTCTCCCTTCTGTCAGTGAGGATGCCAGGTCTTTGCAGAGTTTCCTGTAAGTCCTCTAGGATATGCGACTTTGGATAAAATCTCGCTACTTTGACCTGTGGAAAGAAATTGCTGTCCAAGTACACAATTTATTTTGACCTCCCAACACCTTTAGACAATTCCAGGCTGGCTCCAGGCTTCATGAGAACAATTATGTCCTCTCTGTGGAAAACATTCCTTTCAAATGAATCAGTAATTACTCACCTTTTCTTTCCCCAGCCAAAGTTTTCAGTTGCCAACAGTGGGATCAGTGAGGGGTAGTGGTGTAGCTAACATTAGCCCAATATAGATAAGCTCCAGATTATCTGTCATCGTATTTGAAAAAAGGCAGGCCTGCCAAATTTGCCTACAGTTCCCAGTGAGGGAAAAGAAACAACAGGTTCTGTGAAGAGGAAGGCACAGAACTAGTCATAGAAGTCACTTTTCCAGTCTCCCTCCATTACTCAGGAGGAAACAAACCCAGAGTGTCTTCAAGGTTAAACTCCCTGGAAGCCGATGGATCCTGGCCAGAGGCTGTGAACTTTGCACAGAGGGCATCCTCAGAATCGCCCTCTGCTTAGTGGATCGCTGCCCTCCCATTACTCCGCTGGCACCTACCTGATTTGGTTGACATTTCCATAATTAATTTATAACAGCAATAACCCTGAGATGAGCCTATTTATAGGTTTGTGCAAGCTAGGTAAGAATATAGATTAAATCTCAGATCATTAACATACTTAAAGGACTTGGGAGAGTTTTGTGATCGTCAAATGATGTGATTAAAAGGCCTCCAAGCTTGATGTGTACTGGGAATCCACAGGTTTACTTTCCTTCCCAAGCTCAGAAACAACAAAATAGCAAAAGATAAGCTTATACTCTACCCATTCACCAGAGATGTTGGGTCATCCAGGGAAAAGACTTTGTTTCTTCCACAATCCTGCTGCTTTTCCACCATCCTCCAAACTTGACCAGGGTCAACAGTGATGATCTACAGCTGCTGCCCCACAGATGAGGATCTGTGAGTGTGGTTCTGACCCTTGATATGCCAGCAAGTGTGGCACCAAGAGTCCCGTGGGAAGAATTGCTGTGACTGTCCACAGCAATAGAGATGAGTGTGAGAAGCACAACTTTTAGTTGAAAGGATGCTATTATGACCTGGACTGCTATGCGGACCCAATCTTATTTTCTTTTCTCCATTTTATGTTCTGTTGTTCTGGTTGTTAACCTTCTGAAAAATAACATAGATTGCTTTTCTATTATAAGAGTAAGACGTGTTCAATATCAAAAATAAAGGTAGGTACAGAGAAGAAAATAAAGATCACTCATAATTCCACCACCCAGAAATACCCACTGCTGAATTTCGGTGTGTATCCTTCTAATGGAGTCTTCATTGTGACATCATGCTAGTAGAACAGTTCTCTGGACACGGAGGCCTCCCATTCAGGTGCTTGCTTTGACAGATGCGTTTCCAATACTCAGGGGGTGAGAATCCATCCATCAAGAAGAAGGAATGACTAAGGGACTCTCTGCCTTACTTGCAGGAGGCTTTTCCAAAAACTACCACCCGGAAGTAGTTCCCCTCTCTCTCTTATTTTTAAATCCACTCAGCCCTATTTATCCTTTTCTTAGTTGTATATGCAAATATGGTGGCACCACCAGTGTCATCCACCTCTTTCGTTCAAGACCATAACTTCTTTTAAGGCTCTCATGAGTCCTTCACACCATCCTCCAGCACGGAGAAGGGCTCTTCACCCATTATTGCCATTACTAGTGTTCATGACTTGTTTCTTTGCTCCAGTTTTTTATTAGCAGACTGGCTACAAAACACTGAAAATCAAGTTAAAGTTAATACATATAAGATCATCATAAATGATTGCACATGTACACAGATAATTATTACTTTCATTTGTTTTATTATTTTAAATGAATCTACAAACTTTGAGCTCCTTGAAAGTGGAGATTAGATATTATGTCGCCAGACCCTTAACATCGTACTTGGCATATTATAAATACTTGATTAATATTTATTGAATTAAGATGAAAATGAAGAGAAAATTTAATTACCCAGTCTACTTTTTTTCTCAGTAGTTAAGTGCAGAGAAAAAGGAGGTCATATAAAAATGATGAAAAAATAGTACCTTAGAACAATTTTTATGGTATATCAGTGCATTTTTTGTGCTAAGGTATCACTGTTAACCCTAGTGCGGACCCTTTTTAACGATTTTTTAAAATCTTGACGATGCCCTTTTCACTTCTTTCCTAAATGAACATTAATATAAAGCCATAAAATGTTCCTTGGAGGATTTTATGAATTACTGCATTGTAAGGTTGGGGAAAGGACATTTGCAGCCATTTGTTTTATGGAGCTTGATTCTGAAGCCCAGCACCGCCCCTGACCCTTCAGGGGCACACTCTGAGGCATGAAGCCTTTCTTGAGGACAGTGAGCACTGCTACTTCTCCCTGAAAGACACCAGCCACACTCCTACACTTGCCACTTCCCCGGAGTCCACAATGTCAACCGCAAGCCCTGCCCTCCATGAGTAGCCTAGACACCATGGAGCAGACATTACTGATGATGCATTGAACAGCTCTTCTTCCACAGTGCAGATGTATTTTCAATTCACCAGCATGAATCACTTTTGCCATATGTAATACCATGGTAGTACCTGAAAAAAAATGATGCCAAAGACTAGAGATTTGGTTAAGGGCATTGGTTCTTCTGGCTCTTTTTGCCTCCTGAACTCTTCTTCAATTTATATCAGACATGGAAGGGAAGCCTAATCTATAAAACAAAGGTGGGGGTGTGAGTCCCCAGGGTTTCCCTCACCACTGTGCTAACCCTAAATCAGCTTTCACCACTCATTTGAAAAACCCGGGGCCCAGAGAGACCAAGGTATAAGAGTGTGAAAGGTAAGTGCAGGACAGGTAGATGATAATGAGGGTGATGTAAATAATAGCTTACATTTTTTGAGGTCTTCTTGTGTTCCAAGCACTGTGCTAAACACTGACTGTCCCCCCAAAATGTGGCAAATTGTGATGCCCGAGGCAGAGATGGTATGGCTGTCTGGGAACACTTGAAAAGGATGTCGGATTACTTGCAGGCAAGAAACAGGCCAGATTATCTTGGCAGATCTCTCTCTCACTGCAGTTGTTCTTAGCCTTTATTATACTTTTGGAATGGGTTTATCACAAGTGATATCAAGGGCAGAAACTAGACAGATATGTCCAGTGTATGTGTACGTGTGTGTGCACATACACATAGGACAACTTTGAGCCAGGAGTATGAGCTGAATTGGCACACTGAGTTGTACTTTAGTCTAACACATGCAGCTCAGTAGGTGTCTCATCTTGAGGGTCATTTAGAATGTTGAGGTATAAATAGCACAGAAAAAAGGTGATAAAATAGCAGGATACATGCTTTTGCCAATCTACATGGCCGTATCCTTGCATACTTATTTTGACAGAACAGAGTCACAGAACAGAACAGAGTCACAGAACAGAGCAAGTTCTTAAGGCTCATTCATTCCCACTTCCCTCTTTACATTTTGAGCAAAGGACTGGAGGGACCAATCCATAAGGGGAATGCACCTAGTCATCTTTTCGCCCTCATTTCCTGAGTGTCTTGGGATCAGGTGCTCTTGGACATAAGATGATACACATACCCAAGAGCACCTGATCAGTCAGGTGGTGAGTCCGTCAACCCACAGCCCTGTTCCGTGCCAGATCCCGTACCTTGGTACCTGTGTGGCAGGAGATGGGAAGGATGTGTAGTGGAAACTCCAGGAACTTAGTCCAGCTGAGGAGATGATACAGATACTGGAAAACATAAAGGATCACCAGGAAATGATAAGCTTAGGAACTCAGAGAACATCATTTCTAGGATGATCAGAGAAGGCTTCAAGGAGGAAGAGAAATTTAAGCAGTGCCTCAAAGGTTGGGTGGGATGTGAGTTGCACAGCTGGGGCAGGGAGTAGTCTTTGCGGGGAGGGAAACTGCTGAGGAAAGATACAGAGGTGAGCAGTGCACATTGTTCCTGTTGGAACCACACACGTGTAAAGGCTCTGAGATGAGTTTAGTGAGAGTTGAAGGCTTATGTTGAAAAACACTGTGAGAGGCACACCCAGTACAGACTGTGGCAAGTGTTGAATGCCTGGCAGAGAAACCTGGAGCCTTTTAAAATAGTTTTGAGCAGGGAAGGGAACTCTCAGGACAAATGTAAGATGAAGGACTCATGCTTATGTGCCAGACTGCAGCTTTGCTTAGAAAGCACAGTGCAGGGAGAAACCCGAAGGAGCAGGATTCTTCCCTCTGGAGCCCTAACCAAGGGAGGCTGAAGTTGGTGCTTTCATTGAACAACCATATTCTGACATGATAAATGCCACGTCATGAGTTTGTGGTCAACTCCTGTGGTAAACTTTTAAGCAAGCTTTAAAACAACAGCAAATTGCTTCTATGGAATTTCTCTTACAGCATCTTACATTCTGGAAAAGCCAGTGCAGAAGTCAAGGGAGTAGGTCCTGCCCTGTCATTTACCCAGGCCTCCTAGATTCAGCACATCCCTGTGGGTCCCGTCACACATCTCACCCTGGCCCATTTAACTGAGCTGGGCCTACTGCAGACCTTCAGATATTTAATTTGTAAACACTTAATAAAGCACTGTCAGTAGGTCGGCTTGTCTTCTCTGTCGGCCACATCAAAATCAATACGTCCCCTGTGTATTGTGCCATGATTGTCTGGGCTGGGGAATCTAATAGGATTAAGTGTTTGGGGTCCTATCTGACGCCACAGTCCACAGTCCTAGTTAGATGAGGTTAAAGACTGGCTTGCCATTGTGGAGGCACGATTGCTTAGGGGTCTGAAAAATCATTAAAGCTTGTCCTCTTAAACGTTGATTGTTCCCTGGTGATTTATTGACAAAACACAAAAAAGTGCTCTATACTGCACTCTAATTATATGTATGAGGCCATAAGATCTCATGGGAAATTAAATAAAATTTACAGCTTGATGGTTTTATGCTCCTGGGAGACATACCTTCTTAATAAGATCTTATAGCTGGGAATATTTATGAGGTTAAAGTCCGTAGGCTTGAGCAAAAGACCTAACCTTTCCATGGGAGGTGGGGATGGGGTGCGTTTTGATTTCTTTGAAGATAAATGATCATAATGAAATTTTCAGGGGTTTAGGAAAAAGTGTTCAGTGAGACACATCAAGCATTCCTCCTTAAAACCTCTGGAGGACAAAGCTGTAAGGGCACAGGGATTTACTGCGACCATTTATCTCACATAAGGCCCCCATAGTCCTACTCCCCACCTCTGGGGCACTTTGTACTCCTCCTGTACTCTCTGTGGCTTCCTTGTCTTATTAGTCCCCATCACACTCTGAAAAGGTAGGGAAGATCCTAGTTAAGGGCAATGATGTAAGAGGTCAAGGAAGGGAAAGGAATTTGAGTAAGGAAAAAGGAGAAAGACCGAGAGAATGAATACATGTTAAGACAGCCCCCAGAGGAGTCACTGGACATTTAGTATTTTAATGGGTCACCTTCTCTTTATGTTAAGGGGTGACTGAGGCCCAGGCTCGGATTCTACAAGGATTATCCTGTGCTGTTCTAGACAAAAAACCAGAACATATCTGGGGTAAGATGGAATTGGGGGAAGGGCCTCTGCAGGTGGCATGAAGATGAAGATGATATTTATTTGTTACCTTTCTTGGCTCTGAACAGTGTGCTATCCCAACGTCTCTGTGAATCCTAAATGAAGTTTCATGCTTGAAAGTGGGCTGTCTGAACACGAATGAGGAGCACCGTTTACACAGCCCCATCCCTGCTGCTTTCTCTAATAGTTCTGAAATGGCAGGAAGGAGGTAGGTAGGTAGATAGAGAGCTGTCATATATGTATGTGTACACACACACACACACACACACACACACACAATTCCTATGTATGGAATTATATTTTTATCTACTCAAAGAAGAATAATTGTGTGGAACTCAGAGCAGTTGGGACATGTCATATGTGATCTGTTTTTCTGTTTATTTTTTCTATTGAGTTTTTTATATGAAATCTGAATGGCCCCTTCTTTGTGTGGGGGGTTGGAGATGGGGAGGGCATTGACAGAAGGGTTAGAGATCAAGCTTTAGAGGGACTTGGAACAGATGGGCACATCACCTCTCTGGGGCCCCTGAATTTGAGAGCTCTGCCGCCAGCCTTTTCCCACCAAGGGAGCTCATGGCTGTCTTCTACTCTGTTCTCCAGTTTATCCTCAGGGGGCAAGCAGCCCCACCTTGAGGGCTCCCTACCTAGGCTCATGTGAAAAGCAAAGGACTATGTGATGAGGACGAATGGATACAGTGTTTGACCTGTTAGGGTGAAGCATCTGAATTGAGAAGTTCCTGACTTTCCTCATTGCC